AAAATTGATATGCCTGTTTGAATACTGTAGAATTTCAGTTTCTTTCTTCCTGGTAACTCATCCCTGGTATTCAGATTAGAATTTGTGGCTAACTGTCATGCCTTCTTATGTTCATGGTACTTGAATTTGTTATCACGCAATCACCCTCTTACATCCTTATTTCCTTTTTTTTTATTTTTATGCCAAGCTTTGGTTGCTATCAGATTAGAATCAGTACAGTTTTTTTCTTTTTCAACTTTTTTTAATGCTTAGCTTTGGTTGCTATCAGTTGTTGTAAGCTCTGCTAATTGTCTAAGTTGGTCGTGGGTTAGATAATCCTTCCACTTGTTCTTAATCCTTGATTCATTCTGGGCTATCTTCGGTTAGTTTGCTTTCTATTACCCAGCCCCCTTTTTTCTTTTTCTTTTCTGCCGTTATTGGTTCGACTTGATTTTTTTGGCTAATTGTGTAGGAGAATATTGTTGTGTTGAGTGTATATTTGTTGCCTCAGGGATTGAAGTAGTGCTTGTGCGAAGTGTATGATGTTAAATATTGTTGTGTTAAGTGTATGCAGTCTGTTAAATATTGTTGGCTTCAGTGAGTTCTTTTGGGTTCGAAAAGTTCGGTAGAAACCGAAACCGAACTGGAATTTTGGTTACCAACAGTTCGGTAACCGACTACAAGTCGGTTCTTTTTTTGTTCAACATTTCGATGTTACCAAAATGTTCGGTTCGATAAACCCAAGTTCAGCCAAACCGAAACTAGCCCTATATTTCATATAATAACTTTTTGATTTTTTATAAAAGATCTTGGAAGAATAAAAATGAATTTACTTTGATTTAATCATAGTTCTATATTATTATTATATTTTTCGCACTCAACTTACCTAATGTCGATGCAAAAGTTTGTGGCGCACTCCATATCTGGAGATGAAAACAATGAGGATTCTAGTCGGGCATTTGATGAGCAACTTAACACAAGTTTAGCTGGTAAGTCACAATTATATATTGATCAATTTAATAACTCAGAACAATTTATATGACTTGATTTTTCATATTTACTCAGATGGCTGTGAAGCCGACGGTGACTATATTCCACATATTGCATTAGCATCAATTCCTCATGAAAATCAGAGTTTTCAAACATTGGATGAAGCTAAAGACTTCTATATTGCTTATTCCAAAGAAGCTGGTTTTAGCGTCAGAGAAAGAAAGGACAGAAAAAACCACAATCAAGAAGTCATATGGAAAATGTTCGTCTGTTATAAAGAAGGGACGAAGAATATGAGATACCAAGAAAAAATTAAGCATGTTGTTCAACGAACTGGAGAATGGGAAAGAGGAGATGTCAGATGCAAATGTTTGGCTAGGATGACTGTAAGCTGGAAAAAGGATGAACAACTTTGGAGAGTTTTGAAATTTAATGAAAAACACAATCATCCTCTTACCAGTCCGAGCAAGGTGCGCGCTTTAAGAGTTCACAGGGATGTCTCACCTGCAATAAGGTCCCTTGCTGTCGAGTTTAGGAATGCCAATTTGAAAACATCTGATCTTCGAAGGGTACTAGAAAGTGATGCTGGGGGTCCTGACAAAATAGGTTGTCTAGAAAAAGACTTGTACAACAATGCTTCAAAATTACAAAATGTGGTCACTGGACATGATGCTGAAACGTTAATTAGCCACTTTGAGACGGAGAAGACAACATGTGAGTCTTTCTATTTTTCTTATGAAACCCATGAGTCTGGTAATACATTTGATCGTTGTTACTGGCGTGATGCGCATGCAAGAAATTCTTATGGTTGTTTTCCAGAGGTGGTGGTATTTGACTCGACATTTGGCACCAACAAATATGGAATGTTTTTTGCCCCTTTATTGGAGTGAATAATCATAACCAGAGTATAGTTTTTGGCTGTGGTGTTTTGAGTAACCAACGAACCGAATCATTTTCTTGGTTATTTTGTCAGTTTCTCAATTTGATGCTTGAAAACTGTCAGCCGGGGATGTTTATAACTGACCAAGATGCGGCTATTGCGACAGCAGTTCATGAGGTATTTCCAAATACTGTGCACCGACTTTGCTTGTGGCATATACTTTCCAAGTTTCCGAAAAATATAAATATCGCCATGCATGGAGATGACAAAACCAAATTGGTGCATGCTATCATGGACTCGGATGATCCGGAGGAGTTTGAGTCCCATTGGTTAGAGTTGATAAGTACTACATCTTTGAGTCAAAATAAATGGGTGAATGATATGTACACTATTCGGGAAATGTGGATCCCTGCATATTTGAAAAATATTTTCTCAGCCGGAATGTCATCCTCACAACGTGCTGAAAGCAATCACTCTTTTTATAAGAAATATTTGAGCCGTGACTGCTCACTCAATGATGTGTTTACGCGGTTTAGGAATGCAATTTCAAGGCAAAGGCATAAAACGTTATTACTAGACCATGCCGACAAAAATGAGAAACCGTCATTGAATTCTACACAACCAATGAAGCGTCAGTTGTCGACAAGGTATACGAGGACAATATTTAAAATGTTTCAAGAACAATTGAAGGTTTTGCCCGAGTACATCAGTAAACCCGTTGAAAAAAATGACGTAGTTTGTGTCCATGCAGTGTTCCCATTTAGTGGATCGAAGTTGAAGGATAAAACTTATCGTGTGACACAAAATGTTTCCACGAACTTTCTTTCATGTAATTGCCAGAAACTCAATGATATGGGGATTCCATGTACGCACATGCTATATATGATGCAGGTAATCCTTTTTGTTCATTTATGGTATGTAATGATTTACAACAGAATTTTATATGCATCTCATTTTTTTATGCTATTTTTTATATAGGTTATGCAAATCAAGTTGTTGCCAGAAGAATATATTTTGTCTCGTTGGACACAAGAGGTAGGATCATAAATTTCTTTTCAAACAGTCGCTTCTCCAATTACCCAAGAGCGAGGATATTTAGAGCGTAGCCGAGGGTTAACTGAGAAGTGGAAATGGTTGATCGAAAGGGCTGCTTTGACGGAGAAATCTACTATAATTTACACAAAATGTTTGAAGAAGTGTAATAAAAAATACAAGAGAATGAAGTTGTGACCCCCAATGATACACAAGAGTCATGCTCGAGAAAAGAACACAAAGGTGAGGGTTTTGTAAGTGATCCAACTACTAATCGCGTAGTTCGTGTCCGCAAACGACTATTAAGTATGCGAGATAAGGAAATTAAAAGTGGAGGCAAGCATTGTCGCAATTGTGGCAAAGTTGGTCATAACGCTCGTACATGTCCTGAAATTAAGGGCAAAAGACAGGTAACTTAAATGTTCTCATTGTGTGACTGATTTGTGTAACTTATTTTATTTATTTATTTGCAGATTATGCTAGTTTTTATTTTACTTTTGCTTATTTTGCATATTTTTCCTTTTTTTTTTCTCTCTTCTCTGTTGATTTTTGTTTCAGATTAATATTTATTATAATTAATGATGAATGTTAATATTGAAAAGAAGCAACTAAAAATAATTTTTATCATTAGCATTAATGCAAAATGCTAGAAATTGAAAAATTATTAAATGTTTTATAATTAGAAAAGTGTATTTGAGAAGTTTGATTTATTCATCCAAACATTATGTTTTTAACTTTTAGTTATTATCATTATTAGTCTCTTATAACCTTTATAAATCTTGTAGAAGTGCTGATGAAGTTGAACCGTATCGTCCGTCACCTTTATCGAATAATATCATACTCGAGGACAGTCAAGAAATGGCGGGTCGGGATATGATTGACACTGCGGATGAGGGTTATGATTACACGAGCATTTGGCCTTAATGGAATTTTGACTTGTAGTTCTATCTTTGTCAACAACATAAATCGTAG